AAACCCCAAAACCCCAAAACCCCAAAACCCCTCCATACTAAAATTTGATTCAATAAATTTATGAAATTAAGGCTTTTTAGTTAGAAATATCATGATTAATAACCATAAAGCAACGTAATTATCAATCAGAAGGGATCAATTACAAGTCATCAGGCTTTTCCTCCTCAATACTATGGTTCAATATGTCATTAGTCCTTATCAGAGAATGGCTTTTATTTTCACTTTCAATTTATGGGTCTACTGATCCATAATGGCCTTATCCCATCCCACGGCTCTTTCTCTTGTGTGTTTTACTTCTCTTTTTCTTTTATTTCTCAATCTTTCCTCCTGTAATTCTCTCAATTACCTTATTGAAATCTTGCTTGTACTCAGAGTATTGCTGATAACTATTCTTGATAAATATATCTTTGCTAGACTGCAACTTTTTGGGCTTCTTAATTTTCAGGTTTTTATTCACATATGCTTCAGAGGACTTTTAGACTTTCATATCATTGACATCCTCTCTTTCTAATCTCTTCATCAACTTTTTCAGAGTAATCGGTTTCTTCAAGTGCTTTTTAATCATGTTCAAGTCTATTGGCTTGCCACTATTTGGCTAAAATTTATCAGCTATCGAGTATTCATCAGAATTAACTGATTCTTTCCTGAGAGTAAAGTATTGATTGTTATGTGATTTTCTCAGATTCATTATTCTCCTTCCGTTTGCAGTAGAGCTCCTTGCATTTATATTGACGCCAATTTAATCATAAGAAGATCTGAGCTTATCATTTACAATATCATCAAGATCCTGCGAAATATCTCTAACATTAGAAGAAATTTCAGATATTGATAACTCATGTATAATCTTCTCCTTTTCATCATTATAAGGAGTAGCATTATTCCTTCCTGTGCTCTACTGTGTAAATTATCTGGAGCTATTAGAAATAAATTTAGGCATATTCTTCTATTCATTGAACATCGAGGGTGTCTTTGCAGATTGATATTGCTTGTTAAGATAAGCTGATGAAGTATTATTTCGTTCAGATTTGACATTATCATTATTATTCTAAATTGTACTGAACTAATGTCTTGAAGTTGAAATACTTTCAAACTAAGTTAGAAAGTCTCCATAACCATAATCCTACTTCGTTTTAAAGATATTATTGGCGTTTCTAGTTCTCTAGCCAGGAGTTTACCTTACTTATAGCATGTTTAGATTGTACTACTAGATTTTAGACTTAATTGCACTCTTAGGTCTTTCTTTTAGAGGCTCATTACGAATTTTCGATATTTTCTCTTCATCAATCTTAGCCAGTGGAAAGTAATTCTCAAATATCTGCTAATTAAGAGATTTTTTTGTATTTTGCTCAACCTCCTCAAACTCAGTGTAATTGCCAAGCATAATTTTACGATCAATTATTTCAAGCCATTCTAAAGGGAAGGGATCACAATTATAATATCCGTTATCTGGGACATAAATATCATGCTATTGGTACAGTTAAACATTTTCTGTTTTAATTGGCTAGTCTTGCTTTAATCCGACCATGCCATCGAGACTAAATCGCTGCATTTAATCTGAAAATAAAAATGCTCTGAAAGATTGCATCTGCACTCGATCATAATTGAATTTATTTAAGTACTTGAAGGGATTGATGAAGCCCATTGCTATCACATTCTTTGTCCAAGACTCTCCTAGAGTTAGTCTAAGCTCAATTTTGATATTTGTGAGAAAAGTATTGATATTAGCTGTTTATGTGAAGAAGTAATGCACTCTAATCTTGAATAAATCTAAGCTAGTAATAACTACGATTTAATCTGAGTCCAAGACTTCTGGATCATACGATTTGATCTTCTTAAAGTTATTAGTCCTTACTTCAAATATTGTGATATAGTCAAACAGCTTAATCTAAAGATAGAATATTTCCTTGTTCTTATTAATTCGATCTAATTCCTCCTTTTCTAAATCAAAAAATTAGTTCAAAGTTATCAAAATGCGCCATTAAATCAGCTGCTCTTTAAATTAACTAGTATTAAATTTAGGTTTGCCTTTGTTAGCTATTGCATTCATTTCTGCCATTTATTATTCCTCAATCTTGCTATCAGTTTTAAGAACTGGGATGTTTTGAACCTCAGCAAATCTTTTCTCAACATTCTATAGATCTTATTCTGCAACTACTATTAAATAGCAAATATCGCAAACTTTGCATGTATTAGTTTTCCACTTCTAGTGATTGATGTTAAGGTCGTTAAGGATTTGAGGATTTATCTATTCTAGCAGAAATATTCCTCGCTTGTTTAAGTGATTTTTCAGATCAATGATCATTTTATGGGTAATGACTCTCTTCATCTCACATTTTTCATAATGCTCCTTGCACAGTATGCATTGGTATATTAACTATGCCTCGTGAGGATCTTATTTCTTATCCATTAGTTCTCTCTTTTTAACTTCATCGTCTTAACAGAGTATTTGTTTGTACAAAGCACTTCTCTCATCAACTTCAAAATATTTTACACCCATAAAGCAGATCTTTTCATCGTTATCATCTTTCATAAAATCCAAGACTATCTTTGACATCTTTAGTCTGTAGGAACATATCATAAATTCTATCAACTGCTAAGCGATCTCCTCTAGGATGATAAATCCTTATTACTACTTCTATGTAAAAGCATCGAATGAATTTATTATATTTTGATTAACGAATGCTCTCTCCTAGAGTCCCTTAATCGATAAGTTTTCCATTATCCTACCTCTATTAGTAACTAATACTGCAGTATTAAGCTTTCCTGAGACACTTTTAGGATTATGATATTAGAATCTGAGGAACGTCGCTTTGCCTCCAAATGGATGAATGAATTATTGGAGTATCACATCACCCTCCATCTTAGTTAGCATTTCCTCTATTTTTTCATCTTTATACGCAATAGCTGTTTTCTCTATATTATATGGTGGGAAGTCTTATTGCTTTTTAACAATAAATGGAGCTTCTGAGGTTCTGTTAATCGCATGCCTAATAGGTTTATCGCAAGCATCAATAAAGTCTTAATCTTTAAAGTGACTTTTATAGACTAAATATCCCTTCTCATTTGTGTAAAGGTAGAAGCGTTCATCAAATAAACCCACAGTATGAGGCATAGGAATCTTCAACTGCTTTATTGGTATATCTGAACATACCAAGGCCTTAATAAAGTGAACTCCAGGCTTAACTGGATAAGGATCGTAATATTTTGAATTTGAGGGCTCATGGGTGATTAGTTTCATCGTCTTAAGATAGTGCTTTTATTGCATTTTCTCAATGTCATCTTTAGCAGACTGTTTCTCTTTTATTATCCTCCTTCTCATTCTTTCTTCATCTTGAATTCTCTGCTCATAAGCATTCTGAAGATCCTTTCCATCAGTATCATTAACTTCTCGGCTTTTAGTTTTAACTTAAGATTCAGTGATAAATAGTCGCTCCTCTCTAAAACTTTTAGCATCTTGATTTTTAATACGGGTATATGCTTCCCCTCCTATATGAATTTTCATAGTTATAATAATTAATTAACAAATTAGTTTCTAATTTTATCAATCCTGAATTAAGCATTATTATTTTATTGTGGGGTTTTGGGGTTTTGGGGTTTTGGGG